CTGATTACGTAACTCGCGTTACTTGTAATGTGTTACCCCCAACACTGCCAGTGGCTAACGAGATGAGAGTGTAGATGGTTCAACTCTCAACTCTCAAAAAAGGGAACCCATTCTTCCCTTTTTTTAATGAAATACATGAGAACAATCATAGAATGCATCGCTTTGAGTGCTGAACATGGTTGTGCAAACGCTGACTAACTTACTATCCCTCAGGAGATAACAGAAAAGAAAGTCAGTCTCGCAAATGCATCATACCTGGCACATCCAATCTCTACGCCGAAGGCATTCTAAGTGTTCATGAGAATAGGAACAGCATAAACGGAGCTTTAACACAATAAAGAATTGCGCTGGGGAAAAAAACTATTTATTTAGAGAATCAGAAAGAGAATGAGTTGATGACGTGTATTAGGTACGTCCGGGCGCTCGCTAATGACGTCACGGGCCGTCGCTGGCCAATGAATTGGAGTGTTTTCACCATAGACTGTATAAAAACAGGTTTTCACCATAGACTGTAAAAAACAGGTTTTCACCATAGACTGTATAAAAACAGGTTTTCACCATAGACTGTAAAAAACAGGTTTTCACCATAGACTGTATAAAAACAGGTTTTCACCATAGACTGTAAAAAACAGGTTTTCACCATAGACTGTATAAAAACAGGTTTTCACCATAGACTGTAAAAAACAGGTTTTCACCATAGACTGTATAAAAACAGGTTTTCACCATAGACTGTAAAAAACAGGTTTTCACCATAGACTGTATAAAAACAGGTTTTCACCATAGACTGTAAAAAACAGGTTTTCACCATAGACTGTATAAAAACAGGTTTTCACCATAGACTGTAAAAAACAGGTTTTCACCATAGACTGTATAAAAACAGGTTTTCACCATAGACTGTAAAAAACAGGTTTTCACCATAGACTGTATAAAAACAGGTTTTCACACGTGCTCCAGACATCGGTCATGCTCATAGCATTCCCCATAGTGTCCACTAGAGCAGTGTTTCTCAACCAGGGGTCCGTGGACCCCTAGTGGTCCTTGACGTAAGGCCAGGGGGTCCGTATAAAGTATGAATTTTTGTATACATTTTGTATATTTTGACATGACATGTTCCCATGAAAGAAAAATCCAATATAGCTGATGATATGGCCAAATACTGGACAAGTCAACT